CAGGACCAGCAGGAGCAGCAGCAGAAGCGACAGCAGTAGCAGCAGCTCCTGGGAGGAAGATGACTAGTAGTGGCAGCAGCAGCAGCAGCAGCAGCACGGAGGCAACGGAGGCAACGGAGGCAACGGAGGCAACGGAGGCAACGGAGGCAACGGAGGCAACGGAGGCAACGGAGGCAACGGAGGCAACGGAGGCAGCGGAGGCAGCGGAGGCAGCGGAGGCAGCGGAGGCAGCGGAGGCAGCGGAGGCAGCGGAGGCAGCGGAGGCAGCGGAGGCAGCGGAGGCAGCGGAGGCAGCAGTAGAAACAACGGTAGTAGCAACGGGAGTAGCAGTACGAGGACCAGAAGTAGTATTAGGATAAAAAGCAGCATTAGGGCCAGCATCAGTCTTTCTTCAACGAGAAAGGGGTACGGATCAAGGGTATGGATCAGGGGTATGGATCTCGGGTATGGATCACGCAGTATCATGGGGTATGGATCGGGGTATGGATCATGGAGTATGGATCGTGTGTGGGCCCGGGATGCTTTGTATTTATACCCGCACCCACATGAGTTGGTCTGAAAATATGGTCCTAAATTTTGATGGCATCAGTTTATCATCATGTTCCCTGTCCAATTCTAAAGATTCAAAAAAGATCAAAAAAGGATCCAAACACTGGTATGGAATCAGAGCCCCATCACTAAGGATCCGATCAATTCACAGTCAAGCCACCAAAGCATGAAAATCATCCACGCTCAGCACAGGGACTTTTGCTGACTTGGCCTGGTTAGCTTGAGTTGGGGTTTGCGGTCAAACGCTGCAGCGTCCAAACAAAATGGATTTGTCCGAAATAGAGCATGCCCCCAAAATCCACCAATATCATCCAAAATCGCCAAAATCATCCAAAATCGCTCTCTCAGCGAAAAAACACTTGGAGTATGATTCCCTGCAACTTTACTGGACACACTTCTGCAGCATCCATCTAGGCACCGCGAGTGTTGGGTGGAAAGCAACCACTCAACAGCGGCCCAAGGGATGGGATCTCGCCTGTTGCATCTTTGCGCTTTGATCGACCGCTTCGCCATTCCAAAGCTTAGACCCAGCAACCTGGACGGATCTGGACGGATTCTCATTGGATTCGCCCGGTGGTCGACTGGTGGTCGACTGTCGACTGGGCTGCTGGCAATTCCTGTGGCTCCAGAGACCTTTGATGTTAGGACCTGGCGCGACCCGAGCGACCCGAGCGACCCGAGCGACCCGAGCCCAATCTTCAGCCCGAGATCTGCCACGCCTTGCCACCAAGCAGTGGGATCAGGTCCTCAATGATAGACCGCCTTGGGAACGTGGCTCATCCCAGTCCCAGTCCCAGTTGGTCATTGCAGATCAACCCAAACAAAAAGACGGTGAGACCCCAAAGTGGTAAAAGGTGGAGCATTTTTTCCAAAAAATGGCGAGCCTAGAAATAATCAATGATATTCAATGATCAAGTCAATGCCGTTGCTGGAAAGAACAATCTTATCTCAATGGCTTCGCTTGAGCTTCATGCGACAACTCTTCCGGCTCCCCCGTCACAGCCTCAGGAGCACCCCAATGGAGATTCTCGACGCTAAACCAGAACAGTTTGCTATGTAAAAACCCCATCTTTAATAGGGAAATCTGGGAAATCAAGGGTACTGTAAATCATATACAAATGGGCCATGTTCCGTGGTAACACATGTAAATTTGGAGGTTGATAATTCTTAGGCATGACCCTCCATGACACTTCAGCGTCACATGCGTCACATGCGTCACATGCGTCACATGCACACACACTCTGAGCCTGGCGCAAGCTGATGGCCTTTTAAACTGTCGGGCCGCGCTTGTTTCAGCAGGTCATGGATGGCTAATAGCCACCTGCGGCATGGAATCAAAATGAATCAAGACATATCAGAACCATGAAATCAGTGGACCTTCCCAAAAAATGTCCTGCATGTATAGTCTCTGCTGCAGAAATTCACAAAAACATACAAAAACCAACAACATATAAAATAAATGAACATAATTCCATATAATTCCATATAAATCAATTCAATCTCAAAAGAAGATATGATATCATCATCCTGCAGCGCCTATGTTGCACATATGCGGCAAAGGTCGTCATGCTGCTGCTTGATGACTCTCCTGTCCTCAGCAAGACACTTCAAGGTCTCCATCCACCTGAGTTCAGCACAGGCTTCCGCACAAGGCCGTCTTGCAGGCCCATCTGCAGTATTGGGGGTCCTGGCAATCTCAAGACATCTTAAGACCAACACGGGTCAAATGCTGGCAGATCATGGTCATCCTTTTCTTTTGCCATGGATTGAAGATGATTGAAGTGCCCTCGGCTTTGGATTTCTGTCCTCAGAGTAGATCTCGGAAAAGGTTTTTCCTTGATGTTTGCCTCGCCATTGTCGCGTGAGTTGGCTCAGGAGTTAGCTTGAGGTGTGGACTCCACTCCTGGCCTATCTTCATCAGCACTTCTCCTTTCCTTTCAGCAAATTGGGGAGGAATCGACTGATGGTTGCCATCTCTCAGTTGCATTTTTTTTCACGTTTGCAGGTTTTGCATTGGCCCATGATCCATGATGGTCCATGAGCTGCGTCCACTGCTAAGGCAATGACGCAAGAGGGGGAGATGAAGCTGCACTCGGTCGAAACCTGATTTCCACCAATGCCAGGCACCACATTGCTGCAACATGCTGCAATACCCTCCCATTTTGGTGCAAATATGTGCAAATACAAGCTCGTCCCAGCATTGTGACCAGTTGATTTGAATCTGTTGCTGTCAGCAAAGCCACCCTGAACCGTCCGACGGTGTGATCTGCCGGGTTGGAGCAGGTGCTTGTCCTCAAGTCATGGGATGAGCAATTTCATTGGCCCAGATTTGGAATGGAATGGCAACAGAACAGCCCTATGTATACAATGGTGAACACCAAAAGACTGTGTATTGGAAAATCTGTATCAAAAGGTTGGAGGAGTGAGACAAACTGGGTTTTGCTCAACCTCAAGCCACAGGTCGATTCCTGTAGGTGAAGTTTGAAGTGGACCATTTTTGTGGGTTTTGTAGATTCTTCGAGCTACTCTCTGATAATCTCATAGTTCAACGTAGCTATGGAAAATCGACCATTTATACAGATGATTTTCCCATTCAACACACCAGTCAAATCCATTTACACCAAATAATCATCCCAGTCAGCCATCTTTGATCACCGGTATGGCATGGGGAAGGCCCAGGACCCAGGCTTGGTGCAGCTGGCCCTGGCGCAGGCCCGGGCCGCTTGATTTGGAAGAGTGGCGCTGCCGAAGCGGAACGGAGACCAGCCCTGGTAACGGAGCAGCGGCTGCACCAATGGATTATCTGACTCCAATTCCAGAAGGAAAAAGTCACGTAAAAGTATGTATGTAGATACATATATATATAATTATATATATATATTAATTATTGTATACCTGAGAAGGATGTAACGAAAGCCAGCAGCTCCTTTATATTGACCTAAGATTCCCAGGTACTATATGTCAATATACCTCCGACTCTCACGATCGCCTCTAGTCCGCATCTCCTCTAGGTCTTACAGGCCTTGTTTAGACTGCAAGAGCCAGACTCCGATCTCTTTTTTTTCTGTTCTAAATGGCCTCTACGTGCAAAAGTGGTTAGGAAACACAAAATTCGGTGGTGTTTTAGGTGGGGGTCTCGATTCCCCCCTGGTCGGCTCTTGGGGGTCGTCAACAAGACTTGTGGGCGATGGGACGACCTGCCCCAGGCCCCTTAGACCCACTTCGTTTATAGTAATGACTTCAGCCTAGCCTGCCAGCTGGCTTTCGTAAATTGTATATATTATACAATTATTATAAATTATAAATGTAAAGGTATACATGTACACTATTGTCAATATATTATCACTCAAGCGTATACCAATGTAAACAAGTGTCAAATAATGTCATATAGTTGTGTGTGTGTGTTTATGGACATGCTGCTTCAGCATGCTTCAGCCTGGTCCACGCTTGACCCCAGAGCCAATGCGAGCTCACAGGGCGCGCAATCATGGCACCGCAAGCTGCGCAAGCTGCCGCCGCCGGGCATCCAAAAGGGGCACTAGCGGGACCATTGAAAGCGATTGAAGACGGGCAAGTGCATGTCTCCCAAATCACAATGCACAGTGATGCATGGTGCTCACACATCAGTGGATATATCTATATATACACACATATATATATATACATACAATAAATGCATATATCTATATATAATTATGTGTGTGTGTGTGTTACATATGTATAAATATATATATAGTATCATATACATTTATATAATATTATGGATGTATATATATATAATCGTCAAATGGTAAATTGCCCGCCACCAGCTACAACAAAAGCATACTGTACCAACACTACCGCATCAACGGTGCAGTTTTCCGTTGCGCCATCGCGTCATCGCGCAGTCCTTTTGCACAGTTCGCGACTTCTGGTCCAAGGCTTCAGAGCCTCTCACAGGCCCAAGCTAGCTGCAAGGCTCAGTGCTCGGACGTCAAAGGAAAACACGTGCAGCCAGATGATCAGAGATGATCAGAGATGATCAGAGATCAAGACGATCAGCAAGACGATCAGCAAGATTCGTTGCAAAAGGGCCGATGGATTCAGGCCGTGGGACGAAGGCACCAGCTGAGACGGGTTCAGACGGGCTCGAGGAATTCGAGGACAGGCCGTCGTCGTAGTATACAATCGACCTGTACAATTTGAAACAATCGTTATCAATCGTTTGTGTCGCATCTGCAGTAGATGGCACTGCGATCGACTCTCTTAAGAAAACGCCCATTAACGACTGCCAACCATTGAGATTCTCAGGTGGCCCACCTTCTTTGTCAGTCGGTCTGAGGTAGCTTTGCATAGCTAAAAATAGGTGCCGACAGTTTCAAGCATATGCGTGCATATGTATGCATATGTATAGTAGCTTTATTTGCAGGGCATCAGCCATCCTTTTGAAACAGCTCTTGGAATGCTACAATGGATTTCAACTGAGCCCACCCTGAGATCTCCAATGCTCAAAACAAGCATGCATTGACCCAAAAAAAGGACCGCAATCGAAAGCCATCGATCCATGGCGATTTCGAATTAGACCTTCGCTGCATTTTCTCAGTAGACCTCCACAGAATCAGCCTTAACTTCGAGGCCGCATGTCGAGTCCACATTGTTTCTCAGCCAACCCCATGTACTGCCACTGCCCTCCTGGCCGATGCCTATCCCCGCAGGTCTTGAACCAATCAATTCAAATTAAACGCATCACATCGTGTATTTCATGTGTATTCATCACAGATTTATATGCCTTCAATAAAATGTTTCGACTGAAAAAAACATGAGTGAATTAAACACCATGTACATGTATAAAGATGTGCGTATTAGATTTTAAAAGGAAAATATGGAAAATATAAGTTCACTATGTATATTATATTCATATATGATTATTGTGATATATGATATTAATTGATATTATAATCTATTATATGTACGTGCGTGTGTGCTCGTGTATGTGCAATACAACTTTCACACGACAGATGAGCGCAGCCGATGGGCTCCTCTGGGATGGACGCCAAATGCCTGGCTTCGCTTTCCCACTGCTCCCTCAACAAGCGCACGCAATGGGCGCGGAGACCTGGCTCCGGCAGGTAGCTGCATGAGACCACCTCGGGTGGAAGTAGGAAGCCTCCCAGCCGTGTGGCAAGATATGGCAAGTGAAGGACAACCGCAAGGAACAATTCTGATCCATATTGACATGTGACATATTGATCAATTATGGAAAAGGAAATCCAATTGCGTAGATCAAAGATATTCAAAGATAACATCCGTCAAGACCTGGAGGTCTAAAATGGGTTCTAAGTTTGAACTTCGCTGGATAGAGGTCTTGCATAATGGCCATGCCATGCACATCATGCAGCCTTGCCCCATCCCCACGAGAATGGCCTGCTGAAGCAGCTGCGTGGTAGCACAGCAGGCTCCTACTCTCTCCTCCAACTGCACGTGCAATTGCTTGGCGAGGAGACAACGGCAACACTGAGCGCCAAGCGCAATGGAGCTCTTTATCCACTCGATCAGCTGCCCATTTCACGTAGAGGCGGCGTCTCTGCAAATGCCATCGCGCGCGCTTGGAAATGCCTTCAAGTGTCTCAGCATCTGGAGGCCCCAGATGTCCCAGGTTCTTGATCATTTGACCGCCTTTTTGGAAGCTGTTTCTCCTGGGCAATGCCATGGCCACAAAAATTGTGACCATCATGGCAGGTGAATGTCGAATGGGCCCATAGATGCACATCGCGAAGACAATGGGGAGCAGTGGCCATGTGTTTAGCCAGGCAGGCAGACCCCAGGGTAAATCCCTGTGGTTCAGTAGGGTTTTGGAGTCAACACCTTGCATCCCTTTCCAGGGGCCATCCTGCACCATTCCTCAGGACTACCCCTCCCAAAGCCCCGTCCTTGAGAAGAAAAATGCAGAAATACTATGATGAAAAGCATCATTCAATGCTGGTAGAGTGGCCGAGCTTCCACCCACAAAAATCATTTTAACAAAAATCATTGTTCTCCACCTCTCACCTTTTTTGACATGATGGGTTGCGTAGCTTGCGTCACAGCTTTGCTGTGGACCAGGCCATCTTAAAAGGTACAGAATGCACAACCGTGTACAACATGTCTATATAGTAGTACCCAACGGCCGCAATATGGCACGTTGATTGCACAGAGACGTGCCGATCTTTCACGCCTATTAGGCCCATCATGGGACCTGGGGTGCTAATTCTGAACTCGATCTACTTCATTTTCTCACTGCGATACACTTTCGAAACACGTGAGAAGTCTCGCTTCATCACAACTTGCCCGGCACTGCCGCTCGACCGTGTCACCGGCGACCTGTAACTCGGAATCTGTTTGAAGTTTCAATAGGGATGGGTCAATTTTGGGGCACCAGCGGACCCATCAAGTTGATCATTTTTTTGCATGAACCCTGCCATGGTGCGGTCGATAATTTTGCATTTGTTTTAGTCTTGGCCCATACAATACCGCACATACCCCAATGGCAAATACAAAAACATACACGAACCTTTCAGCGCAAGTGCGCCTGATTCAGACAAGCTCTTCAGTGATCTTTTGCAGGCACCTTGGTTCCCGGCCAAGCATCACAATCAAACGGCCACTTGAGGCAAGCTCTGAATTGTTTGACAAAAAAAATAATCATCAGAATGATCATCAACGAATGATATTGAATCAACTACCCAGCCATTTTTGCGCAATCGTTCACCACATCAAAGCCCTTCCCCGTACCAAAAACAGGTGTTCCAAAGTTGCAGGTCAAGGGGCCACCATCCGCACCTCCCATGGACAACGGCTGGAACTAAATATCCGCATTCGGCAAAAACACCTTTTTTGCTGCCGAACTCCCCATTTATCATTGGATGACTGGTGTATCATTAAAATTTATTGTTGGCAATTATCCCCATTTATCCCTATTTATCCCCATTTATTGTTGGTTACCCTCTGGTAAACTAACATAACCATGGAAAATCACCATTTTTGATGGGTAAATCCACTATTTCTATGGCCATAGAGGGTAAATATTATTGAAAATCAATCTTTGGGATGGTAAAACCATGATTTGGATCACTGGGAGTCACCCCGACCTGCTTGGGGACCTGGGCTCACACTCCGGTCCTTCGGCCCATCCTGAGCAGAATTGCAATATGGATCTGGGTCAAAATAAAAATTGATGATTTACCTGGGAGGGGGGGAAAAAAAAACATGAAACATATCAAAATCTCAGGTTCGAATTCTAAGTCCTAACCATTTGTACAATTTTGACCCAACTGCATGCACGAAATGCACAAAGAAACCTGCCCCCATCTGAGGACAGCTCCAGCATTGGACCAGGGCCAACCCGCGGCCCAAAAGTGGTGGAAGCACCAAAGGTGCCCGAAGCTCCCAGAGCAGGGCCTACAATATGGCATGGCTTTGAAAGCCAGAAACGGAATAATAATTGGAATGTAAATATCCCAAACATTTTCAAGGCGCACTCCATGTAATCCCATCCACCATGGGATACCATGGGATTTTGGGGGTGTTTCCAGAGTGTTTCCCTCAAGTTTGAACAAATCAAAATGCCTCCTGGCGCACGGGATCCGAGGGTGTCCTGGCCACAAGGTTGGTGGCTAAGCACATGATGATTGTGTCGCCGAATGGAGATGGGCCCTAAAACATCTGAAAGAAATGCACTTAGCAAATACTCAAAACATGTGGAAATATATGTGCATATATATTAATTATATAATATATATAATATGTGTGTGTGTGTGCATCTATAAAGAGTGCGGTATTGCTGTATCCATGACATTTTAACCCGTGGCCAACCAGCTACTTTGATCCAAGACCAGGTTTTCTCCTCGGCTGCCAGAGCTGGTGAGCCATGTGCAAAGGATGGCGTGGGCCTAAGTTTTTTCCTCCGACGGCAACCATGCCCCAAGGCCCCGAGGAGGGTGTGCAATATCCATGGCCTTTGAACGATGCTGGCCCTTGCGACGAGACTTCTTGGAACAAGTAAAATTGTAAAACTGTAAATGCTTTAAATTAGACGGATAGGCCTACGGTCTACAGATTCGGATGAAGCGATCATGATGCGACGCAGACGAATATATATATATATAATTTTATATAATAGATATATGGATGCATAGATGGAACATACAAAATCATGAAAGTACCCAACTACAACCAGAAAAGATACACTTACACATTATCAAAGGAAGTTGGGAAGCAATACTTCCGTGTTACGGACAAATAGAAAATGATGAAGGGTGGTGATCCCATAACAATACATTGCAGGGTGGTAGATCACATAACAATACATAACAATAACAATACATAACAAAAGAATAAGAAGCAGTGGAATTGACTTTGATGAAGGGTGGTGATAATGACGGGTGGTGACGAAGGGAAGTGGTGACGAAGGGAAGTGATGATGAAGGGGAGTGGTGACGAAGGGAAGTGGTGAAGAAGGGAAGTGGTGACGAAGGGAAGTGGTGACGAAGGGAAGTGGTGACGAAGGGAAGTGGTGACGAAGGGAAGGGAAGTGGTGACGAAGGGAAGTGGTGACGATGGGAGTGGTGAGGCGAAGGGAGTGGTGACGATGGAGTGGTGACTAAGGGAATTGGTTTTTTTGGGACGATGGAAGTGTGACAAGGGAAGTGTGACGATGGGAAGTTGGTGCGAGGGAAGTGGTGGACGAAGGGAAGTGGTACTAGGGAGGTGGTGACGATGGGAAGTGTGTGACGATGGGAAAGTGGTGAGGAAAGGGAAGGGGTGAACGATGAAGTGGTGCCGCCGGGCCGTGTGCCGCTGGTCCGTGCTGCTGCCCGGGCGTGGTGCCGCCGGCAGTGGTGAAGACGTGGACGTGGTGCCGAAGACGTGGTGCCGAAGGAGTGGTGACGATGGACTTGTGACGAAGGGGAAGTTGGTGGCCCGACAGGAAGTGGTTGACGATGGGAAGTGGTGACGAAGGGAAGTGGTGACGATGGGAAGTGGTGACGAAGGGAAGTGGTGACGATGGGAAGTGGTGACGAAGGGAAGTGGTGACGATGGGAAGTGGTGACGAAGGGAAGTGGTGACGAAGGGAAGTGGTGACGAAGGGAGGTGGTGACGATGGGAAGTGGTGACGATGGGAAGTGGTGAGGAAGGGAAGGGGTGACGATGGGAAGTGGTGACGAAGGGAAGTGGTGACGAAGGGAAGTGGTGACGAAGGGAAGTGGTGACGATGGGAAGTGGTGACGAAGGGAAGTGGTGACGAAGGGAAGTGGTGACGAAGGGAGGTGGTGACGATGGGAAGTGGTGACGATGGGAAGTGGTGAGGAAGGGAAGGGGTGAGTTGGGGAGGAAGCCGGAGCACGATTCCTTGTGTTTTTCCGTGTAAAGTGGCTGCAGCCGGCGATGAAAGGTACCTCGTCTGTGCGGCGGTTGCGGCTGCGGTCGGTTTATCGTTTTTTTTTTTGCCGCAGTGTAACGGTGGCTTGAAGCTGCTTTGGGTGTGGTTGTGTGTGCGTATTTATAGGGTGTTTTGGAATCTGTGGTTGCAGCTCCCATTGGAATGGCTGCATGATGTTGCATGGGCTATGTTTTGGGGAGGAAGCTGGAGCACGAAACCTTGTGTTTTTCCGTGTAAAGTGGCTGCAGCCGGCGATGAAAGGTACCTCGTCTGTGCGGCGGTTGCGGCTGCGGTCGGTTTGCCTTTTTTTTTTGCCGCATTGTAACGGTGGCTTCAAGCTGCTTTGGGTGTGCTTGTGTGTGCGTAGTTATAGGGTGTTTTGGAATCTGTGCTTGCAGATCGCATTGGAATGGCTGCATGATGTTGCAAGGGCTGTGTTTTGAGGAGGAAGCCGGAGCACGAATCCTTGTGTTTTTCCGTGTAAAGTGGCTGCAGCCGGCGATGAAAGGTACCTCGTCTGTGCGGCGGTTGCGGCTGGGGTCGGTTTATCGTTTTTTTTGCCGCATTGTAACGGTGGCTTCAAGCTGCTTTGGGTGTGCTTGTGTGTGCGTAGTTATAGGGTGTTTTGGAATCTGTGCTTGCAGATCGCATTGGAATGGCTGCATGATGTTGCAAGGGCTCTGTTTTGGGGAGGAAGCCGGAGCACGAATCCTTGCGTTTTTCCGTGTAAAGTGGCTGCAGCCGGCGATGAAAGGTACCTCGTCTGTGCGGCGGTTGCGGCTGGGGTCGGTTTATCGTTTTTTTTTTGCCGCAGTGTAACGGTGGCTTCAAGCTGCTTTGGGTGTGCTTGTGTGTGCGTAGTTATAGGGTGTTTTGGAATCTGTGCTTGCAGATCGCATTGGAGTGGCTGCGTCAAGGTTGCTTGCTGCAGCGGCTGCATGCGTAATACTATTGTCTTTTGCAGCTGAAGATTGTAAATCGTATTGGAGTGGCTGCATCCAGGCTGCGATAGTCATTTGTCAGCAGATTTTCCCAATTTTGGCGCTAATAATTTTCCTTTTCAAATTCCTTTTAAAAAGTGCTTCAAAATCGTCTTTTTTTCACTTTGGCGTCGAGATCCGGTTTTGGAGCTGCAATTTCCGACGCCATTGCACGTAGTTCTATTGTGTTTTGCAACTCAGTCTCTGCAGATCGCATTGGAGTGGCTGCGTCAAGGTTGCTTGGTGCAGCGGCTGCATGCGTAATACTATTGTCTTTTGCAGCTGAAGATTGTAAATCGTATTGGAGTGGCTGCATCCAGGCTGCGATAGTCATTTGTCAGCAGATTTTCCCAATTTTGGCGCTAATAATTTTCCTTTTAAAATTCCTTTTAAAAAGTGCGCCAAAATCGTCTTTTTTTCGCTTTGGCGTCGAGATCCATCCGGTTTTGGAGCTGCAATTTCCGACGCCATTGCACGTAGTTCTATTGTGTTTTGCAACTCAGTCTCTGCAGATC